AATGACTCAGAGACATAGGGTATCATTCCCCCAATAAGAACAATCCCAGTTAAAACAGTGGCTCCAAATAAAAGCATGTACAAGAAATCTGCTGTCCTTCCCCTAAAAGAGTTCTCCTCAAGGAGCTTGCAGTATCGAGCAAGAAAAAACATGTGAAACAGGAAGTCCAAATCTGAAAAACATGTTGACAAACAAAGTTAGTACTAGATGAAGAAGTAAATTCTTCTAATTACTAATCCTGTAAGCACTAACTCTTGTTACTACACATCTCACAACATAAGATGCTGTAGTAGATTCAGATGAAAAAAAAGAACATCACAAATGAATTAAAAACTTAAATCCAAGATTAGATATCAACCACAAAGCCCTGCTTGCTTAGTTATGGGAAAACTCATACTCTGTAAAACACTACCAGCCACTCAGTCAGGGACACTAACCTTTGTTAGTTCATGACTACATAATCTTGATCCAAGAATCAGATTTAGAATTCAATTTTTATCTAAAAACCAATAGTTTCAAAAGCCTATAGTTTTGCTTGATCCCAACAACAAAGGGTCATCATCTGCAAATTATTTTTATATGATGGAAGACAAGTACTTAGAGCACTAAACTAAAACATGCTAACAATTCATTTCTGCACAACAAAGTAAAGAAAAAAGGGATACGAATCTCAGCAATGCACAAACAGCTGTTTCATAAACTCATTACCCATTTTCCGGAAGTAGAGAAAGTTGGTGATAAGGCGCCAGAACTCATAATGCTTCACCACCAGCTTGGGGTTCAGGTACAAGTTATATGGAGATATTATCTGCAACAACATCATTCCAAACTCAAAACCCCCGAAACCAATAATAACCGATTGATATCCCAAATAATTACCATACCCCGACCCCTACAAAATCAAAATCGAAGCCAAGAAAAAACAAGAACGAAAGATAGTATACCCATTTCAAATCCCGGAAGCTCAAATTCATAGAAATATCATATAATGAATCCCCAAATTGCACGCCTTAACGAATACATATACGGATATCGTTATAGAGAGGTGGAAGCTTTACCTCCAAGGAACAACCGATGGTGGTGACTACGGCGGCGGTGAGGTAGGAGCGAGTAATGACTGGCATCTGCTTGTACCATTCCTCTACTGCTTGCGCCATTTTCCCGGAAAGTTTTCCGATTTCTCGCCAATATTAAACCCCCCCGGAAACTTTCGGATAACGAAATAGAGGAACCAAATTTCCGGAATCCGGCCGGCGAATACAAGCGTGATTACCAACGACCTCTAACTGAATCAATCAACAAAGATACGTGCATTTACAAATTGATTTTATGCGCTCTGCATCTGTGTATATATATTTTTGGTTTCTCCGACAAAATTTAAAGATATATGCGGATTATTTGTGTTGAAAAAATTAAAAAAGAGCGTGGCATAGACGGACCAATCAAATGGTGTTGTGACGTACGTGGACCAATTAAATTGCCTGAAAACTATAGTTTGACGTAGGATGGCGTAGAACGAGAGTGCTGTAGATTAAAAATAACGAAAAAGTGACAAATTGGTATCCTAAGTCGAGTGGATAATGCAATTGGGTCTTCAAAGTGAAAAAAGTTCCATTTAAGTCTTCTAAATTGGTAAAATTGTTCAATTAAATCTAATTTAACTTATTTATCAGATTAAATCGATATGGTGTTGACATGTGTCATTTTATTTTATTTTTTTTTAAACAAAATATTTTTTTATTTATTAAATATAATTATTTATTATAAATAAATAAATAAACTAAACAATTAAAAAATAAATAAGAGAACAACCACCGGCTGTCCGTGCCGGACAGCCGGTGGCAGTCTTCTTTACGGACAACCACGGCCGTCTAAAGAAGACGGCCGTCTTCTAGATTTGGAACGAGGGTTTCGGCCATGGTCGTCGCCCTCGTTCCAGATTTAGATGGACGACGGCCATGACCGTCTTCCTTCGTCGGCCACGGCTGTCAGTGAAGAAGACAGTCACGGTTGTCCGGCGTGGACAGCCGGTGGCTGTTTTTTTTTTTTTTTTTTTTTTTTTATATAAATAATTTTTAATTGTTTAGTTTATTTATTTATTTATAATAAATAATTATTTTAAATTTTTAATAAATAAAAAATATTTTGTTTTATAAATAAAATTAAAGTGACACATGTCAACATCACATCGATTTAACCTGATAAACAAGTCAAATTGGACTTAATTGAACAATTTTATCGGTTTAGAGGACTTAGATGGAACTTTTTTTTTTTAACTTAGGGGACCTAATTGCACTATCCACACCTTATTTAGGGGGTCAATTTGACTTTTTCCTAAAAATAATCACAATATGGGACAACGATAACAATAGATCAACACTTCTAACCATAAGGTCATTAGTTTGAATGTCTATCCTGTTGAGTCTTAGTACAATTTACATCTCATGGTATATTTTTTGAAAAACCAATGTGGTTATATTTATAAATAACTCAAAATTGAGTCAGGTAGGATATCATCCCAGTACATAGTTATATCGTGATTAAATGCCTCAGCTGCTAACATATGCGCTAAATAATTTTGCGATTTAGGAACAAAAATAACTGAGCAAAACGTAAACATAGCCATAGTAGTCCTACAGTCATCAAGGACATAACCAAGATAGGATCTAGGTTGGATTGCCGAAGTAGCCAAATATGCCTAAAGTGTCTGGCAATCTGTGAATAACTCAACTGACAGTTCGCCACGTGTCCTGAGCCATGATAAAACTTCTTTGCACGCAAGCGCCTCGGCCATAAGCAGTGAGAGACAATCTTGTAAGGGTGCGGCATAGGTTGAGACGTATCCACCATACGCATCGAATAACACTGCTCCAACTGTGGCGGTTTTCAAGAGAGGCCGAAACCCGGCGTCGACGAAACACCGCATTCGCGGCACTGCTTCCGTTCCAGCCGCGGCAATGGGAGAAGGTGGCAGCGCTGGTTGTATCTCGGCAATAAGGGCGGCTTGGTGTGCTGCCGGCAATGGCAGCAGGTCGGCAGATGTGAGACCGGCCGACTGTGAGGAGGCAACCGAGTACACCTGCTGCCACGCATGCACGGAGGCCATGGCAGTCGTGATAATCTTCTTCGGCCTTGGTAGACATGCATTCCAAACGGCATCGTTCCGGCCTCTCCAAATATTGTATAATATTCCAGCTGCAAATAATATCCCATTAGCATCTAGAACATTTAGGATTACTCCAAACCATCCCTGAAAAATATTCGTTACAAAATGGGGGAGTGGAAGGTTAGATTGATCCCAAATGGACCTAGCATAGTCACACAACACTAAGGCATACATTGTGTTCTCATCCATAACTCCACACATGGCACAAATTGGACTAATATCCACCCTCTTTATAAGCAAATTGGTGGTAGTAGGGAGAATATCACCTATAGCTCTCATGGTATATTTGGTATAAATGAATTGCAATTCATTTCATACTCTAATAATTTCAATATAGGTGGTAAAGTATAGACTTTAGAGTCTATTTGTGAGGAATTGCAATTATATAGAATTACAATTTCTCAAATTTGAAGAATTATAAATCGCCCCTAGGAATTGCAATTTCATAATACATGGGAATAAATTTTGAAATGTGAGGATCAAATTCAAATTGCTATCCCTAATAATTCTAAATATTTCTCGACGAATTGCAATTATACAGATATTTGGTCTTTATACTACTTATTTTCTTTCAATTTTCATATATACTAAATACTATAATTGAAATTCTCAATAATTTATTTTTGTCTACCAAATAATGTAATTAAATTTTTACTTTATTATCACTTTATTCATTTTCCATGGAATTACAGTTTATCGCCCTCCTGCAACCAAACATCATGTTATGTGTGATTTATAAACCATTATACAAATGTGAATTTATAGGCCGTACTGCATTTATATATTTTAGAAAAAATTATAAAATAGACCGTCTAATTTTTACTTTTCGTGCAATTTCATCATCCAATGCAAAACATGTATACACTTAACACACAAATGAACTAATATTCAAAATGGTCCTAAGTAAATTTTGTCAAGTCAATATATCATAATTATGTATAGGTGATAGTAATTTATTTTTATTTTTTATTTTTGTAATCTTAATCAAATATCTATACAATTAATATTAGTTGACAGTATAAACCAAACTGTTAAGTTGATATATAGTTATATACTCTGGCTACTTTTGAAATGTCTGCTATTAGCTTATTACCTAAATGTTAAGTACCATTTTACTGTCAAACTAACTCTAAATTTTATTTTAATTATCATTACAAAAATCTAAACTTTGGGGGGAGTTACCTCTTCCTCTTCCCATCAACTCCACCATTCCAAATATGAATGGGCAATCATGACTACCTCCATCTCCATATATGGACAAAAGAGGTAAGAGCAATCCCATTTGTAGGTTTTTAGTGATTTTTTTTGTCAAGATGGAAGGGAGAGAGGGGAGAGAGAGTACGAAAGAGAAAAAAATAATTATGCAGGAATTTGTTTTTGTTTTGTTTTATCTATTTTTTTTGTTTTTTGTTTTTTCTAATGGGATCTTTTTAGAGAGAGAATGAAGAAAAATTGTACGTTTTTGGAGTGTTCAATGGTCTAATTATACATTTTTTTTTTGTTTAGTGACTTAATTGCATTTTCAAGTTACTTTCCAATTTGAACCTTATTCCTTTGACAAATAATGCTAACAGTTTTACATGTCCTCCCTATTTTTACTCTCTGACGTGACAATTGATGATTAGTTATCTTCATCTCGTGAGTCCCAATAAAAATGTCTAACATCAAAATTTTGTGAAGAGTAAAAATTAAACGTATAATTTGAGAGTACGAGTAGAATTTTCCTAATGCTAATTGTGCACCAGTAAAAGACAGATAACCGAGAAGGAAACCAAAACTAACCTCTTCTGCCAAGTGCTAACTAGCATGCATTGACAGGTTAGCATATGGCTAATTGGAATAAAATCACATGACAATAAAATACTCAAAGAAACACAAAACCCAGGGCAGGTGCCCTGTATAAATACTGGGGATTTGTAAACAACCACAATCATCAAAGGAGAAGACATGTTCATGCTGCAGCTCCCATGCTGTTCTTGTTTCTGCTTCATCAAGCGGAAAAAGGGCCGTTCGAAGGAGAAGGAACCAAAGGGAAAATGAAGCTTTCTCAGAGCCGTAGATAATGGGCAATGATGGTTCCTTCGTTTTCATTGCCAATAATCTGTTTGCTTTCGTGTAAATTGTAAACTTGACTGTAGTTTCTTCTGTTATATGCTCCTATCACAGGCAAGGAAACATAAGGGAAAATGAACAAAGATTAATAGTTGAAAAATGAAAAGAAGAAAACACTGGATTTGCTTGAGACCCAAAACTCCCGTAAACCTTTTTTGGGATCAAATTTCTGCTTTCCGTTATTCTAAATAACACTCTCCAAAGATCGACTAAAAGTAATAAGTTAAATAACTATTTAGTAATTTATAAATAACTGTTAGTAGTTTCTAAATAACTATTTAGAAGTTTCTTAATATCTAAATTATGTAATGTAATGGTAATAAAATAAGACTTCCTAAATAATTATGTACCAGCATGTATCACTTCACATGTAAAACCGTGTGTTGATGGAGGAGCTTCAACTGCTCTTCTTGCACTTATCTTCATCGTCTTTGGGTGCTAAGCCTATTTCCTGCATTTGATGTTCAACGGAAACCAACCCAGTCTCAGCAAGAAACCTGTTAAACAGAAACATATAATGATGAATAGCCCTTCAAAAACAACAATCACTATTCACTAGAATTCAAGTGGCCAGGCTCGCCTTATAACTCAAACACTAATGTGACTGGCAAATTTAGATAAGAATGAGAAGTTATTATGTTTCACCAGAACAGCAATTTAAAACAAAGTGAGAAGATACATCCTTTCTCTTGTCAATCAAGGAAACTAGCAAAAAATTTGTCAGTTAATGAAAACAAGTGCTGAAATGCTCAAACGCCTAATCAAAGCAGAATAAGGTGTTTGACTAGAAAACTGCAGTCAGAGTGACAAAGTTGTATACAGCAACTAACAGAAGAAGGAACTAGCAATGAATCAAAAGTTACATATACTCTAAAGTCTAAACTGTAAAACAGTTAATCAAGTGTCTGGAGCAAAAACGCCTAAGAAGGAAGACCAAAAGATGATATCATATCCCAAAGAATTCCCAACCCTTAATAGACAAAAATAGAGCATTCTGTGCTGTCCAGGTTGATTTAAAGATTATAAGAACTCAACGGTCTGCACATCAATGAAAGATATGAAAAATACATGCACAGAGGGGCAACCCAACCAAGTTGGTCATGCACTCACGCTGTTGACTTAGTAATAACAAAGTTACAAGTTTGACTCCCCGCCAGAGCGACCAATCCCTTCTTGGTTTGAGGCAGTCTTACCTCCTTGTGGTCCATTGTCAGCTAGGGTCACAAGGTGGGGTTTACCAAGTGCACTCATTGCACTTTCCCTTGTCACCCAAAAAAAAAACACACACACACACAGAGTCATCATAAACTCCATTATCCATTTGTTCCTATCTCTTCTTGGTTTAAATCGGACAACCTAGGCTGATTAACCTCCTTTGTGATCCTTTGTAGCTAGGGTAGGTGGGATTTTCCAAATGCAAAGCCTGCGGTTTCCCTTGTCAACCCCCCCCCCCCCCCCCCCCCCCAAAAAAAAAAAAAAAAAAAAAAAAAAAACCCCACACAGAGTCATAAAAAACTCCATTATTCATTTGTTCCTATGACAAATTTTAAGATCAACATCCTGTTCATTAAGTCACTTGAAAGTTGAAAACAGGGGTGTCTGCTCCTTAACAATGAAGGCCAGCTTACTGATTCCATTATTTCTGCTTTACAATAACTTTTAGAATGCAAAGAAGCAATTATAAGCTTGATGATAACAAGTAAAAGAACACCAACAATTTTTTTTTTTTTTAAATCTTGAAATATCATGGCGTGATGAAAACAATCAAGTAATGAAGGGTAAAAATTCAATATGTGAAATTGTGAATTCACCTGGTAAGAAGCAGGAAAAGGCCCCCAGTTATGAAAACAAGGAAAGTCACATGGAGAGTCAACATATAGTCACTTGAGGAGAAAGCCAAGCCGAGCATAGTAGCAAGACACACAGCCAGCAACAAGAATGCAATCTTCAACGTGTTCCAAGTCGGAGCCTGAGACAACAGCAGAAAAGGTTATCAACTTTCAGCAAAATTACAATGATAGAAAAATCCGGGGCAAAAAGGATAAAACATCATAAATTAAACGGACATTGACGCCGGGAGCTAGAGCTCCAACAAACACAGCTTGTGCCGCTGATACTTCTTCTCTTTCAGCTTGTTTCGCTTCCATTGAATCCGTTGTCTGAAACTCGGAGAGCTTTAGATCTCTGATCGAGGCGTGAAGAAGAAAAGCTGAAAGCGAGAGAAGGAGATCTCCAACAAAATGCCTCTAATTCTTACTTCTTAGCATTTCGGTCCGATCCCAATTGTTATGCCGTGGACCCTGGTGCACCTTGCAATATGGACTTAGATTCAAAACAATGCAATTTATTATTTTAAAAATAATGGTGTTGTTAGTGGCACTGTTTCTCGACCAATGATTTTAATTGTGAATATAGAGTTCAAAAATGGTGAATATTGAGTTCTGTAATTTTGTATATTGAGATCTAAAATTGTGAATATTCAGTTTTAAAATTGTAAATATAGAGATAAAAAACTGTAAAGAGTTAATTATCGAAATGGTTCATTGACTATAGCGAAATTACCAGTTTGGGCATTGACTATTTTTTGACCAATTAAGTCCCTCAACTTTAAAAATCTTAACCAATTTGGTCCTCCGTTTGATTTACCGCTAGTCAACTGTTAACTTGGGACCAAATTGGTAATTCGCTATAGTCAAGAGACCATTTTGGTAATTAACTTTAAGAATGGGCAATTCGGCTCAGTTTTCTCGAATCGAACCGTACCAAATGAGTTAGATTCGATAATATACCGAATAACCGAACGGTAATATATTCTTGTGTACTGAACGGTTCGGTAAAAACTCGAACCGAACTGAATTGTTCGGTAAAAATTGAGCCGAACCAAATACCGTTTGAACTTTGGATTGCTACTTTGTTATATATTAGACTTTGCATATGGACTATGTAAACACCATAACACATAATATAGAACTTTTGATAACAAACCATAAAGAAATCAAATAAAACATTTACGAGAGATACCCGTGAGAATATGAGCTGAACGGCAGAGCAAGCAGCAAGGGACTTGGTTTTACTTTTTTACTTATTTATTATTATTATTATATTTTTTTTTAAAAAAAATCAAACGATATTCGTTTCAGTTCAATTTTTTACCAAACAATTCGAATCAGTTTTTTTATCGAACCGTTCGGTATACAAGAACCCAATACTGTTCGGTAGTTCGGTATATTACCGAACCAAACTAGTTCGCGTCGGTTTGGTACGGTTCAGTTCGAAAAAACAAAACTCAATTGCCCACCCATAAAGTTAATTACCAAAATGGTCCATTGACTATAGCGAAATTATCAATTTGGTCCCAAGTTAACGGTTGACTAACGGTCAAACAAACGAAGGACCAAATTTGTTAAGATTTTTAAAGTTGAGGGACTCAATTGGTTAAAAAAATAGTCAAGGATCAAATTGGTAATTTCGCTATAGTTAATGGACCATTTTGGTAATTAACTCAATTGTAAATATAGAAGAACGAATTCTGAAGACAAACGGCAAGTTAACTGTAAGATTTTATTTTATTTTTTTATTTTATTTTTTTTTTAAATTCAGACGGCGTTGTTTTGCGAACTCGTGTCCACCTTGCAAGGTGGACCCAGGACACATCATAATTTGCCTTCCGATCCAATAAGTTATTGGCAATTAGGCCCATTTTCATATAGGCCCATTACAGCAGGTCCATTACTGTTATATCTCCCGCCAGCTTAGTTTCGCTGACAGTTTATTTCAAACTTTCCCGTTCAAATTTTCACTCTTCTCTGCTCACTCTCTCTCTAAACATTTCTATCGTTCTGTTCTCTCTTCAGACAACTCACTGAAAATGGTGAGGAATTCGAAACTCTTCTATGAATTTCGTTTAATTTCACCTTTATTTTTCAGTCGCTCGTTTCTCGTTTATCTGACTTCTGATTTTGATTCTCTGAAATCGTTCAGGTGGTCTCGCAGAAAGTGAAGGAGGCGGAGATCACTGAGCAGGACTCGCTTCTTCTCGTAAAATTTCCTTTCTGATTTTCTATAACCGTTTAAGTTTGTCTCCTTTTTCCGCTCTAATAGCTTTTGGATCTCTGTTGGTGGATACGTGTACTTACTTTCCGTTTGTATATGCACTTGCTCGAATATAGATACGCATGTTAACTTTGATTATTTTGATTAAGTGTTGCTAGAAGACTTATCGATAAATTTTTCTGCGAAGTAAGGTCGGAATTCAGATTCCGTTGATTTTTTGTGAATAGGCTCCAAATATTTGGAATGAGTTGTTAACCTACAATTCGCCGATCATTTTATGCTTCATATTTTTTCCGATGCTGGTGTAATCACGAAGCTATGGAGCTAACAGAACTGAGTAGTCTGAAGAACTTTATCATTAAAGTGAAAATCAGGAAAAAAGCTGAATATACTATGTATTCTAAAAAGAGAAGTTTATGTTGATGTGGAAAAGCATGGATGACAGATATGAGTGTTGAGGGTCAAATCTGACTTTACTTGATAATATACTGATGATCGCTTCCTGAGGAGTGAGCTTAACATGGTCATTTATGTTTGTCTCTGATGTATGCCTGTAAATTTAAATTTCCATGAGGATTATAAGTTACTATCTGAGTTTATGTTTTCTGCAATTGTTTGATAAAACAGACAAGGAATCTGCTGCGGATTGCAATATTCAATATCAGCTACATCCGTGGCCTTTTTCCTGAGAAATATTTCAGTGATAAGTCTGTTCCAGCCTTGGGTAAGCTGTAGTTGAATACTAATTCTGTTAAATTATTAGAAATTATTCAGTTTGTAAATCCTTTTTTTTTGTTTTTTTTTTTTTTTTGCATCTTATTGTTCAAATAGAAATGAAGATTAAGAAGCTAATGCCAATGGATGCTGAATCACGTAGACTGATTGATTGGATGGAGAAAGGCACGCTGATTTTCTTTTTCCTGTTTATTTGCAAAACTCTCATCTATGGGTTTATCTTCTTTATTTTATTCATTAGTGTTTGTTTATGTTTGTAGGAGTATATGATGCATTGCAGAAGAAATACCTGAAAACACTCTTATTCTGTGTGTGTGAAGCAATAGATGGGCCCATGATTGAGGAATATGCTTGTAAGATTTCAAGATATGTTGGTTTTCTCTAAAAGAGTTGAAACAAGATTTTGAAATTTGGATTAAACTAACCAATGATTTTAGATATGAAATGGTTTGGTTTGGATTTATGACAAGAAAGGTTTACTAGTATACTCTGGCATTTCTTTAACATAATGTAAACTCCATGACTGATTGATTAATTTTTGAAAAAACAGATCCTAGAACATTACAATAATATGATGCTTAGTTATTATTATTATTTTTTTCTAAACACTTTATTGCTTTAACCATGATCTAATTTAGCATTTTGGCTGCAGTCTCATTCAGCTATTCAAATTCTGATAGCCAAGAAGTTATGATGAATGTGAATCGTACTGGAACCAAGAAGCGAGGAACATTCAAATGTAATTCAGACACTGAGATAACTCCCAATCAGATGAGGTAGTTACATTTATCTAAGTTCTTGTTTATCTGTTGAGATTCATTTCATTTCAGTTTTTTGCATTCTAAAAACCATCAATTGTATCTGACTTGTCTTAATTTCCTAGGAATTCTGCTTGTAAAATGGTTCGTACCCTGATTCAACTGATGAGAACTCTGGATAAAATGCCAGAAGAGGTAAGATGATCAGAGTCCCTCAGTGATAACATAACTGATATTCTATTGATTGGTAATATTTTTCCCTCTTGACCCTAAAATTGAGGTAAATTTCCCTTTTTTCTTCTTTTGTGTCCCAGCGAACTATATTGATGAAGCTCCTTTATTATGATGATATAACGGTATGTATTATACTGACTTTGGTATCATCCTAGCTAGTTATGCCTTTATATTGAAAATTTCAATTATGAAAAGGTTTAGGCATACATTGTAATGCAACTTGCACAAATGCCCTCATTCCCTAATCCCTTCACATAAAGTTACTTTTGCTGCATCTTCTCTTCAGGGATGCAGGAAGTGTGCTTTCTGAAATACATGAAATTCTTTTTTTATGGACCATAGTTTCTTAATATAATGTGGATAAATGGAAAATGCTTTAGGGATAGATGGATAGTCCTCATAGTCCTGCAAACCAGAATTCATAGCTTTGTGAGTGAACACATTCTTTGTGCTTGTGCATTCAGAAACTTATGTTTAATGTGGCAGACCAAAAACACAGTTTAGTTTGCACCTTACATCCAACACTTCACTAAATGGGAATATTGACAACATGGTTTGCTGCTTTTGCAGCCTGCTGACTATGAGCCTCCTTTCTTCAGAGGCTGCAAAGAAGAGGAAGCTCTTAATCCCTGGGCTAAAAGTCCTCTGAAGATGGAGGTTGGCAATGTAAACAGCAAACATTTTGTATTAGCTCTCAAGGTAAGGGATGAAGGTTGCATCAAGGCGATGATTGGATTAGTATTTGATGTTAAATCATTTTTTGTTATGATGATTACTTGGACAGGTCAAGAGTGTTCTTGATCCCTGTGAAGATGACAATGATGACAATCAAAGTGAGAATGCAAGCTTAGCAGCTGACTCTGCCCAGAGAGATGACAGTGACTTTGATAGTGAGGTTGAATCCTTTCCTCCTTAGTTATGGTAGATGTTTGAAACTTGATATATTGTGTGCATTTAATTGTTCATGTGTGCTAAAATATTGTGACATGATAATCTATTTCAGTTGAGTCACTCTGATGATGATCAATACATAGTCGCCCCAATAGGTAGATATACACCCCTGATGCCTGCACTTGGCTCTCCAGTTTACTTGTTAATTCTCAAAGTTTCTGACTTGCTTCACTCCAATTAACAATTATTTTCTCAACAGAGAAAGAAGAGAAGCAGCAGAATGCTCCTATACTTGATGAAGGTACTCTTTTCCTAGAATGAAAACCATGTAATGGATCTTAAAACTATTCCCATTTTGAAGAGAAAAGAACAAAAGCTTGATGTGTTGTTTTTGCTGTTCAGATAATACGCAGGACCCGGCTGAAGATGAGGAACAACTTGGGCGGGTCAAGGACTGGATTAGTGCTTACCACCTTGACAAAATTGAACTAACTGATGTCCTCTCCAATTTTCCTGACATTTCAGTGGTACACACTCTTTTATGTATAGTGTTAGTCTTACATG